AATGTGTAAGATCTAGAAAAACCGAAGTGAACGGAGAAGTTCATGGAGGTAGGCCTAGGCCCACTGGGGCTGTAGTGCCAAAGAAAAGAAAAAGTAACACACGAACAAAATATTCTATAATATTCTTGCTCTCTTAAAAAAAGTAAAAAAAGTACGGGACCCTCAACGTCTCACAACCCTACGGGCCTTCACGGCCTGGTACAGCGATAGCTTTACTTTTTTAGTACTTTTTATATCTATGGGCTTATGGAAACGTTTCATCGGCTTAGGGCCATTCACTACCGCATACTCGTACACCTGGCATATACGGAGAAACAAATTGATGGCGGAAAGTTGTTTTGACTGTGAAAAAGTCGAACTCGAGATTCTGGCGGTTTTACTCCTTGATTCCCCCCCAATACAAATAATTTGTCTTGGTATTCCGTCTGTATGTTCGTATGACTGCATTCATATATGTGTATGTGTGTGTGTGTGTGTGTGTGTGTGCGCGTGCGGCTCTCCAGCGTGTAAACGGTTGGACTAATTTTATTCATATTAGGTATTCAAGAGTTTGTGTATCAGAAGGCGGTGCCCGGTGATTACGAATATTCCACTCATAAAAATAGTGACACTTCGAATGGGCCTCAATATGCAAAATGACGGTTTCACTATAACGGCTATTAAGATATTGATTTGGTGTCCCTGATTTATGCCGGACATAAGCCTAAATGGAAGTGCATAGACGGAATCTTCAGGAGACTAACGGCATGAGCATTAGGAGACCAAACAGGAAATGCTGATTTCTGTCGAAATTGTACAATGTCTTTAAACCAATTTTTGGAATTGCTAAACACCTTATAAAGTAATTCTTACTTATAGCCTGCTGCCATTATATTTATTAACAATGCCACACTTACACATAGTGTGTTGACCCGTTACTAGGCAACGACCGCGAAAAAAAATGTTCCTGCGGCAAAGAATCTACACGCAAAAATAGAGGAAATGTTGGAAATTGAGTTTTCTACGCGGTCTGTGCAAAGATGTTTTAAGCAGGACAAATAGAGGAAACTAATCTCCTCGTCAGAGAAGATGTTATATACGGTCTGTGACAGCAATGGTTCAGCTGAAAAAAAAAGTCTAGTCTTTAGTCTCAAGGGGCTTGGCAGTAAGACGAATGACTTGTTAGTAAACCGGCAGTCGTAAAGTAACTTTGACTTTTACTTTGAAAAGTTCAGTTATGGAGTATTAGGAAGCTGGCAACAACGTGAGTGCGAAAGCTGAAGAATTTCCACACTTAGAAGCGGTTACTAAGAAACACTAGTGGAGGTTCTGACAGACTGAGAACATTAGAATGTGTGTAACAGGGAACTGCAAAGTGTGCAGATTAGCGATGGCGCTGTAATCACTTTTGTAATTACGCGTGTATAAGTAGTCAATAAATCGAGTCTCTAATCTAAACCCCGTCTATAGTCACGCATTCACGAGACAATATATTAATTTTATAACCCTTTTTTAACGGCCGAAACAATAGAAACCGGTCCTGAGGTGTGTGCAGGCTTATTGCCTTTACTTGCGCTGCATATTTATGTTGGGTACTCATGTATTCTCGTCTTCCTGCTAATTAAGAGAAACATATGAGTATCTGTACTTTTCTGTACTGGACGGTCTTCGAGTACTTCAGTAATTTAAAACAATTAAGATAAATTTTATGCTACCACGAAATAATGCGATATATCGATATGCTAAATTCATATTGATACGATATATCCTATTGATTTATCGATATCAGCTGATCCCTAAAAATATTACGAAACTTTGGTTTACAAATGTTTACGAGCTTGATTTGGAACAAGTTCGAGGTCGCAGAAGATTACTCTGACACTTGCGCTTTTGTGTTGCTGTCTGCTTAATCGTTAGACAGAAAATGAGGTCATCATAAGAGCTGAGCGACTGGAGTGGAAAAGTGGTCTAATTCTCGAGTATATACGGACAGTCTTCACGATTGGCTCATCCTTTTATTGCTTATGCGCAAATAATGACATGCATATTGAGCATGGAAACCAACACTGGCTACAAGATTCCTACTGAACGTAAGACAGGACTTATTTTAAAAAAAATACAGTATGAACCTATACTAGGACTACTAAATTTATTTCTATTGTTCACTTTCAAAATTAAAATAGAATGAAATAATTTTGTTACGTAAATTTACTAACCATTAGCCGTAAGGAACAACTGTTAATATTGTAACGTGTGTATCCATTACTATGGAACGGGCCGGTAAACATTCCCGCAACAATAGATCGCCTATGCTGGGCAATGGCGCAGTAAACAGGCTTCGTCAACAATACGGGTTGTCTTTTCCGTAAGGTCCATGCAAATTAGTTACAAGAAATGTTCGGCAAGACAGAATTAGTATCATACCCGTCTGGAGGCGGGGTCGAACACCTCCACCGTGACCTTGCGAGTCGTAGGAGGCGACGAAATGGGAAGTCTCAAATCTGAGACAGCAAAATATGGTTGCGAGTCGCAAGGGACTCGGACCCGAGAAACATTGCGCTGGCAATGGTCAGCAACATGTACAAACGACAAACCCGCCCCACAAAAACAAGACCGTAACTGTCAAACAGTAATGAATATCTGGTCATGAGCCCCAAATGGGGCTCGACACCAAGACTTACTGACTGACTGACCGTCAGTCGGAATGTGACTTTGACTTTGACAAGAGTAGTAGTAGTAGTAGTAGTAGTAGTAGTAGTAGTAGTAGTAGTAGTAGTAGACGGGGTACAGCTGATTATACAACAGTAGTCGGGAGTAGTCAAGTCGAGCATCGGAATTAGTAGCTACAGAAATGACAAGAAAGGAATTAGACGGTGCCAAGAGGATTTCACGTGTTATTGAAGCTACAGTGAGACTGTGTTAAATCCGTTGCCAGGATACGACTAGTGAAGACTGAGAATCCTAGTGCGTGTGTACCGGTGAACTAAAAGTGTGTAGAATAGCAATAGTGCTATAATTGACTGAAGTCCCTAACGGTGTAAATATTATAAGTATCAATAAACATAATCATCCAATCCAGAACCCGTTAATATTAGTCACGTAATCCCGGACACGTGACAGTATAATAGCATCTCAGAAGTATGAATTAGTAATGTCTGAACTTGCATATAATAACTTTATTCTGAGTGATCGATCAGTTTGATGTAGCCGTAACATTCTGGGCTTGTATTCGGGATATTTCAAATCACGCTGCAAATACCGGCTGTCCTGAGTAAGAGGCTTTGCTCTGTCCGTTTGCCAAAATACAACAACCAATTTCTTCGGAAACCTTAGCTGCTTACCACTTGATGCTTTATTCCAGTTTCATTTGAAACAATATGACCCCATATAATTGAAACAATGTTTTCAAAACGCCAGAACACGTGGAAACTTGTGCAGTTATCACCAGAATTAGAAGGAACAACGTATGTGAGTCGAAGTCTCTCACTTCACAGGGATTCTTTTTACAGACAATAATACATTTAGTGTTAACCACATAAATTAACTTATTTTGCTCTCAGGTTTCGATCTGTTATTGAGAACAACGATAACAGATCGAAACTTGATTCAGGAGATTGAACTCTGGTAATGCTTGCTTTTGTCTCCTCGTCTGCTGTCCAAACACATAAAAATTAGAATATACAAAACTGTAATTTTGCCGGTGGTTCTGTATGGATGTGAAACTTGGTCTCTGACATTAAGGGAGGAGCATAGACTGAGGGTGTTTGAGAACAGGGTGTTGAGGGGTATATTTGGGCCGAAGAGAGATGAAGTGACAGAAGGTTGGAGAAAACTGCACAATGAGGAGCTTCATAACTTACTCTTCTCCAAGTATAATTAGAATGATTAAGTCAAGGAGGATGAGGTGAGAAGGTCATGTAGAACGAATGGGGGAGACGAGGAATGCGTATAGGATATTGGTGGGAAAGCCAGAAGGAAAGAAACCACTGGGAAGAGTAAGGCGTAGGTGGGTGGACAATATTTTAAAATAGATCTTAGAGAGATATGATGGGATGGTATTGATTGGACTGCTCTGGCTCAGGATAGGGACCAGTGGAGGGCTCTTGTGTACACGGAAATGAACCTTCGGGTTCCATAAAATGCTGGGAAATTCTTGAGTAGCTGCAGAATTGGCGGCTCCTCCAGAAGGGCTCAGCTCTATGAGTATGCAAGTAAGTAAGTACTATTACCGGTACCAATAGTCTGCGATGAGGAGAGGAATTTGGCACAACTAAAAACTCATAAATGAAACAATGATGTTAATTGTGGGTAATTTTTCCTCGTGTTCGTGAGCTCACAGATTCGGATGTCGGCTGTCCTCAGTGGTATTTTTCGTGCCTTTCCTCAGTGCCTTCAGGAATATTAAGAGGCGATGCTCAAATCGTCTTACATTGTTATGACATTATGATCCACAATATTAAATAATATTACATCTCTAAATTACTTTCTTACTATTATATCAGTAATTATGACAACAATAATGACTATGGTAATATAATAATTCAATTCAATTCTTTATTATTAATGTGCCGAGTCAACAGCCGCAAGGCCAATTACAGACACAGCACAGTGCAGATGAATGAATTACATTATAGACAAACTTATTAAAAGTCAAATACAAATTACAGGTAAGTACTTGGAAGAAATAATAATAATAATAATAATAATATTCAGCTGCAAGTACGCGATTACTGGAATATGGGAAAAACCTTCACGACTAAACCATGTGGGACACATACTTGTTTCACCCTTTAATGTACAGTGGTTACTATATGGACCATGTGCTTTAATATTAAAGAAAACTCACAGTATTTGTGAGTTTCATATGATTCTTAAAATAAACAATGATTATATCCCCAAGAAGTATTAACCGTTTGGTCTTTGAAATTGAGACAGATACATTTTATTAATATAAAAGCATTCTTTAAATTATGAAATACACATATTTAATTAAATTATACAACAGTCTATGTAAAACTCACCAATAAAGCACGAGGTTGTTCATGAAATTTCCATCGTCGATGACAGAACCTTCGTTTAAACTGTAAGTTCTATTTGGTGTGCAGCGGCCAGAAATTTTCTAAATATGAGAGCAAATCTTCGTTGACGAAACAGAAAGAGATTCACAGCACTTGCTTTAAGAAACGCACTATGTTGAAAGCAAAGGAAGCACAACACTCATATATCACTTCGAAGTCGCTTCTATTAAATTAGTTTCAGGCAAAATATGAATCAGTGTTTAGATTATTAAACAGGTAAATCATCCTCTGAAAAGTGTAATTTTCTTCAATTATATATTCGTACTACAATGATGCGAAACTGGATGATGTATTTAGAAAATATCGCTTGTATGTAAATGATATGCAAACTCTTCTTAATTGAATACAGAATTAGAAAAAAGAACAAATACTATTGGGCGATTATGTTTTATTTGAGATTCGATACTGCGAAACGATAACAATCGACTGTAATACAAAGGCAGCAAAACTTTTAAAGTAATCTACAGATATATATTCCTAATTCACAGCTCCTATATAATTCGTACACTGTGTAGCCACTATCACAGCGTGATAAGTAAATGCGAGCACAAAAATGACGCACCTTTACTAAATATCTCGCGTTTCTGACAACTACGTATTGTTCTTGTCTTCGTTTTATTTTACAGTTCTTCCTTTATTGCTTGCGGAGGCGAAAAAGGAAGTACTTGAACGGTGGCTGAGGACTGAATGGTGATGCAGACGGCGTGGGTATAGTAACGTGGGGACACTGCGCCGGGCGTAGCTATTTGTGTATCAAACTACTTCAAAAACTCGATGTGACTGAACGCAACAACCACAGCCAAGTGAACTACACAGGTCGAGCATACGGACCGCCCTACGGACGACCGGAGTGTGACGTCATACACGCTGGTTGTCGTCTTCGACGTCGCTACCTCCCCCTTCCCTACACACACATACTCCCTCTCCCTCGCGCCCAGGCTCGAATATACGCCAGAGGAAAAACTGGGAAGAACAGCAAGGGGTGAGAAAGACCCCCCCCCTACATGCCTCTCGATGAAGGAGTGAGAAAGATGAAAAACCAGGGTTACCAACGTCATTGACATCCAACGCAAAATCAGCTAAGTACTAAGCGCCCACGCATGACATTTAGTGAATGAGAGAGAACGGACGGACGAGGAAGGGTGGGGGGAAGGGTGATACATCCTGTTCTAAGTTCAACACCAGAATACTCATTTTAGCTTCAGGCTCTAAATCTGTATATAGAGCGAAAACGTAAATTTATCCCTGTGCTCAACTAATTAAGCAGTACGCCATGAAGACGTATGGGGAGAGTGGATGTAGAGATCTAAGTTTTTCTATACCCGTCAGTAGTTGGAAGTGAGTGGTCAGCTTTACTCACCGGCCGCTTTACCAGCGAGGAAAAGACCCCACTACCCACTGGGTAGGACCATGGGAGGGCCCCAGATCCTGTCTGGACGACGCGGAGAAAATAAATTTCTTGGCCTTACCGGGACTCGAACTCTGACCCCTCGATCGTCCAGCCAGTAGACAGTCGCAATACCGACTGCGCTATCTCTGCATATTATATGGAGGAAATATAAAACAACGGGTTTTTCCTTCCACATCGTTTCGAATTTAGTATTTATTGAATAATCATAATATTCTGCAATACGCAGTCTGAGATACTGGCAGCGGTGTTAAATAAACCATAACTAAATGAATTAATTAATTGGACAGAACTATTAGGCTTATTTTAGACTCTATCCATCATCTGGTATATATAAGACAAAAATCCACAATGTTACAGAGAATGGATCTGTTTCCGTGGATGGGGCAGGACAGACCTACTTATTTGGGTCCGTTAGAAAGAGCTAATCTCAACCAAAATCCAGTGATTGAGATTAGCTCTTTCTAACGGGCCCAACTTAGTAGGTCCATCCTGCCCCATCCACCTGAGGACGGAAACAGATCCAGTCTCCGAAACGTTGTGGTTTTTTGACTTATATATACCAGACAATGGATAGAGTCCAAAATAAGCCTAATAGTTTTGTACAGCATACACAATAGTCAGAATCCTTTCAAGTCTAATTAATTAGAGCCATAAAACAAGCGTGATTAAACGAAAATCGTAAATGCATGAAAAAGAATGGCTCTATCTTTAATTAATTATCAGGCAGTCACTGTCACGGTGATCCCATTCAGTTACATATTCTCATCTGCATAACTTACAGAGGGGAGCCTGGATAGCGCAGTCGGCATGGCGACTGGCTACGGGCAGCTGAAAAATATTAATATAAAACTTCATGAAACTATAGCTTCATAAAATGTGGCACTAAATTTTATAAATTTTTAAGCAATAAAAATGTATAGGAGAATAATAAAATTTAAAATATTCTGACAACCGATCCATTAGAGATTTAGTTAATCCATAAAATCCGTTGCGTTGTAATGAACACGAACGTGTGGTAAAAATACTTTACTGGTGACGACTCAAAAAATGCTCCGGCGTGTGTTACGGTAACAATTAAACTATACACACTTCAGAAAGTTGTATGGATTTTCCCTGAATAAACTTCTGATACTGAATAACAATAGAGTGTCTTTAATTTCGCTAATAATAGATTTGACAGCGGTTAGTGAAAGAATCTGAACACTTTTCAGTCCGTGTAAGATTTGAGGCTTTCACGGCGGTGACTATGAAGAAAGCAGTCTTCTGGGATCTGGCACCGTGTATATGTGGTGTTAACCGACGTTTCGGAGGAACTTTACCGGTTCTCACGGTCTCTTAGCTTGCAGATTTCTTATATTTTTTCTTCTACCCTGAAGATGGAGGCGATACGTTCCTCCGAAACGTCGGTTAACACCACATATACACTGTGCCAAATCCCAGAAGACTGCTTTCTTCACTTTTCAGTCCACTTTCCTTATTTTGTTCTAGTCCGGGACATTTCATTTGTTCGGCCAAGGTCATCACCCCTTCTCCCGCGCCCCCATGCGTTTAATCCGCCCTGAGTTCCTGCCTATAGCGAGGTAACAACTGGCAAACCTGCAAAACAGTAGTGGGACGTGCTGGCAAAAGAAATGTTCCCGATAACAGGGTAACACGGTTTGTGCTGTTAACATTGCCGTATGTCCGTTTGCCCCTACCTGCATTATGTAAGGTGCATTGTATAATGCTTAATCCAAAAGGGAAAGTAACAGGAGGATAGAATAACGATGAGCTTATTATTCTATGCATCACCAACTCGATTGTTACTGAGGTGATCAAATGTAGCACGCATAGGTAAGATGAGAATTTGATATTCCCACAGAGGTAGTTATAAAGGGGTATATATTCTAGGATATAATACATTGTAGTCAGTTCAAAGTCAACCGACGTTTCGGAGTAACATGTCGCCTTCATCTTTAGGGTCGAAGAATAAACCGAACAAGAAACAAGTGTGAGAGCAGGTGGAAAGAAAAGCAGAACTCCAGGCTTGTCCCTGAAGATGGAAGCGATAAGTTACTCCGAAAGGTCTTTGACTTTGAACAGACTACACAAAGTTATGTCCCAGAAGATAGAACTTTTCTTCTGAAGAAATTAGATTTCGAACCTAGATGCAGTTGGGAAGATAATATTTAATTGGATCTTACAGGAAGTACGTAGTTTTGAGAGAATGGAATGGATTCATGGAGCTCAATATAGTGATCAATATCTGATGATAGTGACCCTTTGGATTTCATAGAAGGCGGAAGAATTTTTTAGTAACTTAGCAGCTTTTATAAAAGAGAACTCTATTTCATATAATTAGTAAGTAAGTTAGTTAATTAGTCAGCTGAGTCCGGTGACAAAGAGACGGTTTCGGCAAATTTACTAGCTGCCTTCAGATTTGTCACGTCCAGATGTGCTATTCTCTGAATTTCTCGAGCCAGATTTGATGTGCTGGGCTTGTCGTGACGTCATTGCCACTGTATCTTACACCCGGAACAATCAAGTCATACTTTTAACACGTCTAATTACGACCACTTGAGTTCAACCCTTCTTCTCGATCCAGCAACAAAACGTTCTGTCAGCATGACGTTAGTTGTGACGTCAAGGGAAGTCACAGCTGCGTCTGAATTACATCAGACGGTGCCATATGCCGCAGATCGTGCGTTCAAGCGTCGAGACGGGATTGACTGGATAACGTATAAGGCTAACTACAGCCTGAATATAAATTGTACTTTCTACGGAAAATTATGAATTCCATATTCCTGTTGTTAATGCGGGTAAGATTTTGAACCACTAGAACACTTAGGCCGTGGGTTGGAGTCCTGCATGGAACTATGTTTCTTTGTTTTCTATACAGTGAGACTAGCAGAAATACTCGTTCTTCTCCTGGTATAACTTTGTTTTCATTATTACTGTCAGAATTCATAGCAGATAAAACTATAAAGAGGGAATAAAACACAAATAATATATTCATCTTTATTTAGTGTCTAGTCATCACATTTTGACGGAATATGATCATTTATTACGCAACATCTAACCTAAACCATCTGGCTTTCCATCGTACGTATGTTACCCTTGCTAGCGCCTGAACGGAAAGTAAGAGGTACACTTACTTACTTACTTACTTACTCATGGAGCTGAGCCCTTCTGGAGGAGCCGCCAATTGTGCAGCTACTCAAGAATTTACCAGCATTTTATGGAACCCGAAGGTTCATTACAGTGATCACAAGAGCCCTCCACTGGTCCCTATCCTGAGCCAGATCAATCCAATCCATACCATTCCATTCTATCTCTCTAAGATCCATTTTAATATTGTCCACCCACCTACGCCTTGGTTTCCCAGTGGTTTATTTCCTTCTGGCTTTCCCACCAATATCCTATACGCATTCGTGCTACATGCCCTGCACACCTCATCCTCCTTGACTTGATCATTCTAATTATACTTGGAGAAGCGTACAAGTTATGAAGCTCCTCATTATGCAGTTTTCTCCAACTTCCTGTCACTTCATCTCTATTCGATCCAAATATTCTCCTCTACACCCTGTTCTCAAACACCCTCAGTCACTAGGGAACCTGACAGTTACGTAAAATATATATGTCCTGGATTGTATGGTCAGAAATCTACAATGGTCTAATGATCAATAATTGGTTCCGTTCTTCAGGTAAAGTAGTCAAGGTGAATTGTGGAGGACACAGTAAGTGCAACGTGTTTGCACTGAAACTTTTGCGGTAAAGCTGTGTTAGTCCTCCGCCCAAACCCATAGCTGAAGGAAGATTTATTTTCAGCTTAACTCTATATACAGAAAAATAGTAGTGGTGCTGCATGAGATTATGGCAGCACAGTGCGCCGATAATAATCTGCACGAGCTGGTTGCAGATAGTGCTAATTCTGTAGGTAGGTTGATCTCTCAACAATAGTCTCTTTGTCATCAGATATTGTAATTTTCATGAACAACGACAATTTAAAACACCTTCTTCAAGCCTGAATTTCGGGTTTATTCAATACTCGACATTATGATCAGATTCTGAGCATGCGGAGCTCAGGCCCTACCTCAGCGCCTTTGCAGACAACCTCAATCCGCACCTGAGGCCCTGCCATGCTCTTGTGACAAGGGAACAGCTTAGAGACATGCCCCTGCTCAAAGATTTTGAAAGTTAATAGGAGTAAATGCAGACAGAAGGTTGATCAAGACTGAATTCATCTTCCGTTCCGAAAGAGCGACTTAATATCTTACATCCTGTCGCGCCTTTATTGTTCTCTTGACGCTCTTCAGTCTTCTTATTGTCCACTGAAATTCGAAGTCAAACTTGTTATTCTGTTTCATCATCCAACTATCAATAAGTTGAGCATCGGACCCAGTGGAGCTATCAGAATCTTTCTTCTGCACCTCAGCTTTGAAAATAAATATTAGAGAACTTCTCA